ATCTTCCAGTGGGGCGGGGCAGGGGGTGTGCTGTAGCAGGGGTGTGTAACTACAAAGCCTCATCCTCAGCACAAGAACACTAGAAAGCCAATGGGAAAACACGTAGAAACTAATCAAGCTCAATGTACAACAAAACAGTATCATTGAAGACAGAAAAAACACCAGTATATCCTCAAGCAGACTCTTTGATGATGAATCCTCAGACATATGATGAGGATATTCATTGAGTTCAAAGAAATGATAGTACAGATAGTCAGCAAGCAAAAGAAGTTATGAGAGTCGAGATGAGAAAAATGGCTACAATCAGAAATGACAGAAATGAAAAACATAGTAGAGGATATAAAAAGAAAGTTGATAGGAGCTATGAACATCAGAATAACAGAAGCTGAACAGAAGATTGAGGTTCTCCAAGAGGAGACGGGGGAAACCACTAGAAAACAGCAGAATATGGAAAATACCCTGAAAAGAAATGAACAGCACACCAGAGAACTATGGGATAAATTCAAGAGGAACAAAATAAAAATCTCTGATGTCTCTGAAGAATAGGAAGGCAAATGTGATAAAGAAACATTGACCAAAGAAATTGATAAGAATTTTTCGGAATTGAAGATTACAGGCATCGAGATCCAAAAGGGTCCCAGTGAAAATAGATCCGATAAGGAAATACCCACGATAATCATACCCCAAATCACAAAATCCAAATATAGAGAAAAAAAACTGAAGGCAGCAAGATTTAGAAAGAACTTTCACTCAAATAAAGTCCATTAAATGTACAACAGATTGATAAAATTAGACTTTATGAGTCAGACAAATATGTAAGGATATAGTACAAAAGCTCAATGAAATAAAACACCACACCAAGAATACTCTATCCAGCTAGATTTAATTCAGATTTGAAGGAACCTTACAGAAATTCATGGACAGGCAACAGCTTAGGGAATTAGTAGCCTTGAAACTAGTTTTGTAAGAAGTGTTTAGAAAGCTCCTTAAAGGGCAGGAGAAACTTCCCATCATATGGCCTTTAGTATGGCACTCACTATCAGTTCATCTGGTTGTTCAGTAGATTAAGAAAGGTTTAAAACATATAGCAACTCATAATCATAAATCGACTTTTATTTTTTCCTGATATTCCTACACACCATTTCTTGGTTTTATTGGACAAATTGATATGAAATACATTTATTATATGCTTGCCTATTGGGTGGGATGGAACCTGAGTAGATTGGTGGAGTTAAGGGCACATTAATGATGGTATTGGTGTTGGAATATTTATTCCTGAAACAACTCTATCATGAACAAGTTTGTAAATCACAGTGTCTCAATAAAATTCCTGGGGGGTAAAAGAAAGAGAATGTTTTCAAAACAAGGAGCTCGGGGGAGAGGGGATAGAGGGGGTAAGATACCAAGAAATAATAATGAAGATACCAATTACAAGAACATATGAGATACCACAAAAACTGTGTTAAAAGGTAAGTTCACAGTCATGCAAGCATTCATCAGGAAACAAAAAGGGCCTCAAATAAGTAACCTAACTGCACCAGGAGTAATTCTTGATTATAGAGCCAGAATCAACCCCAGAGCACCAGAATGTGAGGAAGGGTTAGAGGAGGAAGATGAGGAGAAGAAGGAGTAGAGGGAAGAAAAGGAGTACGAGGACGAGGAGGAGAAGGAAGGGGCAGTGGAGAACAAGAAGAAGGGGACCTTGGTGTTAGGAAATGTACACTGTTGAAGGGACAGGTCTTGGAACATTATTTGGCTGAAACCTAATCATGAACATTGTTGTAGCTTTGTATTTCCATGTGATTCAATTAAAATATATATTTTTTTTATTTTTGGGGGGTCACACCCAACGATGCACAGGAGTTACTCCTGGTTCATGCACTCAGGAATTACTCCTGGCGGTGCTTAGGGAACCATATGGGATTCTGGGAATCGAACCTGGGTCGGTCATGTGCAAGGCAAACGCCCTACCCTCTGTGCTATTGCTCCAGCCTCGTATTTTTTAAAATTTTAAAAAAGTAAATAAAGGCCTAAAAAACACCCTGAGCACTTCCAGGTGTTATCCCTAAACAAAACAAAACAAAACAAAAATTCCAGAGACAAGGAATTAGAAGAAAACAAAAAGAAGAAAGACAAGAAGTTTGGAGGATGCTAGAAAGTAAAAGTAGCACTGTGGCACTGTCCTCCTGTTGTTCAGCGATTTGCATGAAGGGGCCCCAGTAATATCTCCGTTGTGAGTCTTATTGTTACTGTGTTTGGCATATCGAATACGTCATGGGTAGCTTGCCAGGCTTTGGGGTGTGGGCAAGATAGTAATGATAGAAATCAGCTCAGTTCTGAGGCTTCTGTGAATTTTGGTAATGCCATTTCATGACACCAGGGGGCAGGCAGCCAAGGCCTTTATTATAGTACTAACATTATTGTGGTTTATATGAAATGAACTCAAAAGTCTCAAAAACTGCTTCTCACCAAGTTTGTATTAAAGGGATGTAAGGGCGGACTGACCCAAATCGGCTGTGTTTCCTTGAGTGCAACAACACAGAAGGAAAAAAGGAGCTCACTGTTATTTCAAATGTGCCTGCCTCCCCTGTTTCCTCCCTGTGACCCATATTTTTAGGGATTTGAATAGTTGTTGTTTGTATGTTCTCAGAGTTTATACCTGAAATAAGGTGTGTGTGTGTGTGTGTGTGTGTGTGTGTGTGTGTGTGTGTGTGTGTGTGCGTAGGGGGACGCTGCAATGGTTTTCTAACCTCCTCACTGATACTTTTAACTTGACTTTATAGTCTTCTTTTTCCTAAATGCTGTCAAGTGTATTTCCCCCTCCTCTCCCTTATTCGATGTGTGCAGAGGTGGTTGGACAATGATGGCAGGCAGGGGGCATAGAAACACTGACTGTGATGCTTTTCCACTGTTGCTCGCTAGAGCTGCACATCAAGTGCAGAGCTTTCCCCACTCAGCACCAAGTGCTCATCAAGGCTGCCCTTCCTGGCCTGGTATCACACATTTATACTGTTCATTGGGGTTGTCCTCCATTAAGTTTGGAGTTGACACACATAACATAGCTTAGCTATGCTATGACTGGGAGCTGCTTGCGGAGTTGGGAATCCACACAGCAGAGCTGCCAATCTGAAATAACAAAGCTTCCTGGATCACACTCAGCACCTGTGGAGGTACCAGGGATTAAACTGGCAAGGCATGCATTTGAGGCTCTGAATGGTCCTCATGATATCTTGGGGGGGGGGAGAAGAAGAAAGCTTATTAAATAGGTCATTAAGCTTCTACTTAAATGTTAATAACACAAAGAGCTTGAAAAATTTAAAAAGCTGCTTGAAGGTAGAGTAGAACTCCCAAAGTAGACATCATTTGGAGAGGCTAAGAATGATTCTAGAAATCAGGTAAATGCATTAAATTGAGTCATCCATATTTGTGGCACTATTATCTAGGTCATTTCTAACTGACAGCTAGAACAGGCAAATCCTAGATAAATGAACAAATTCAGTAACTAAGAAATTTAAACACTAAGCAGAAATTTTGGCATCTTGGTAGAGTTGAGAAAATAAGAATTGTAGTTCTTGGTCTGTTAACAAAGAAGGAACCCAAACTTTCGTCATAAGTTGCAGAAAAAAATGAGAATCTTACATTATTTTTAGAAGTTTTTAGATGAAATAAAGAGAAGGATGTAGTATTATTTTGGTTTTTTATCTTTAGTATCTATAGTTACAGAAAGATGACTTAGAAGCAAATAGTGTTTACATTTAGAAATTTGATCACATGTCTATGAATATAGTGATCTAGAAGAAAACCATCCAAGAAGGTTGAAAAAATTGCCTGTGGCCTAGTCACAAAATAAAAGACAAATTAGAATAAGATTCTTGGATAGCATGCCTATTCATAAATACCACACTGTACAGATAGAAATGCAGAAAAATCAAGCCTGTATTTCTCTGTCTCTCTGATTACTATCTCCATGTAACACCTACTGTGGAATACAAAATCCAGTTTTGACTCTGGCTGAATATCAAAGCAGGATAAAATAAAGCTACAAGTTGAATAATGCAAAGGAGATCTGAAGTGGAAAAGAGACAAAAACTTATTGTTACTGGCAGGTGCCCTTGTTTGTTAAAAGGGCTCCTTCCCTGGTGTGTGTGGGTAGGTAATCTGGGAGTGACAATCTGCTTCTGAGACTGAGGACAATAGATGATTCAGCAAAAAGAAGTGTGGTTGTGGTAGTGACAAGCATGTACCTGAGAGACTCGCCACCGACAGCCAACCATCAAGAGCAGGAGTTTACTCAAAAGGGTAATTTAACTTTGCCAATGTTAGAGAGAACCTCAAACATGGGCACACACGAGAGGGTGTTTCCTGGAGTAACACTGTATTGAGTGATTATTAAGGCATTCACTTTACAAGCAAAGACCTAGAAGAGTAGGAAGGTCATGAATGCATGCGATGTCATCACATTTATTTTCCTCTTCAAATCAGGTATCAAAAGGTTTGTATGAGAAAAATGTATATCAAAGAGAATTGATTTGTTTGGTAGTTATGCTATGCAGAACTACAGAGGTGTGAGAGGTAGTCTGTTGCTGGTTCAATCTCTGGCACCAGATCACTCTCCTGGGTTTGGTCCCAGAGCACCACCGTGGTGGCCCTGATAGTCCATAGCACCATACAGTGTACTTGGTCCATAGTAGGACTAAGCCCAGGCATTGAATTGCCAGCAATATTATCAGAGTATCACTGGGAATGTCCTCCATGGCCCCATGAATGCCAAACTAAGATAAAAACTAAAGAGTAATAAAAACAAATAATAATGATATTTTAAAGCAATGCAGAATCATCTGGAGCCCAAGGCAAGGCCAGAGAGGGGTGAGCAGAGGCAAGTGCAGGAAGCAGCTTTGCATGCAGGCCCCTCCCTTATCTGGGCAGAGAGAGATAAGAGCTGGGAGAGAGCCAGGCCCAGGGTTGGGGTGTCAGCAGGCAGCAATTTGGGCAGCTCCATCATGACCTGGGCTCTTCTCCTCCTCAGCTTCCTCAGCCAGGGCCCAGGTGAGGCTCAGAAAATGGACCCTGGTCACATGTGGCTTCTCTTTTTTTTTTAATTTTAATTTTAATTTTTTTATTAGTGAAAAACCATGAGGCACAGTTATAGGCCCACAAATTTTGTGCTTGGGTTTCAGTTATACAATGATCAAGTGCCCATCCCTCCACCAGTGCCAGTCATCCATCCCCACGGGTCCCAGCACCCCCCCTCATCCCCCCCCTGTCCCATCCTGCCTCTGTGGCAGGGTATTCCCCCTTGTTCTCTCTCTCTTCTTTTGGGTACTGTGTTTTGCAAGAGAGGCATTGAGTGGCAATCATGTTTGGTCTATAGACTACTTTCAGCGTGATTCTCCCACCCTGGGAGGGTCCTCACAACACCCTTTATTTGGTGCTCTCTTCTCTATCTGAGCTTCCTTTTCACCTAGAGCCTGTGGCTGGCCTTCCATTCATGGAGCAAAATTCCTGGTACTAATCTCAGCCATTCCTGGGTGTTACTCTCCCTTTTTGTTGCTTTATGTTCCCCAGATGAATGCAATCTTTCTGTGTCTATCCCGCTCTTTCTGACTCATTTCGCTTAACATGATACTTTCCATGTAGTACCACTTGTATGTAAATTTCATAACTTCATCTTTTCTAACAGCTACATAGTACTCCATTGTGTAAATGTACCAAAGTTTCTTTAACCAGTCATCTGTTCTTGGGCACTCAGGTTTTTTCCAGATTCTGGCTATTGTAAAGAGTGCTGCAATGAACAAACAATTGCAGATGTCACTTCGACTATACCTTTTTGCCTCTCTGGGATATATTCCCAGGAGTGCTATAGCTGGGTCAAATGGCAGATCAAATTCTAATTTTTTGAGAGTCGTCCATACTGTTTTCCTCCTTTTGTCTTCCTTCTTCAGCTTCATCCAGAACCAGCCTGAACTCACCAGTGTTTTATTTTCTCTTTATTCAGAGACCTGTGCTCAGAATGTCCTGACTCAGCCTATCACAGTGTCTGGGACTCTGGGACAGACAGTCACCGTCTCCTGTACCGGGACCAGCAATGACATTGGGAGATATAATCATATCTCCTGGTATCAGCAGCAGGAGGGCACAGTCCCCCAAACTCTGTTTTATGGTCTCAATAAGCGGCTATCAGGGATTCCTGATCGCTTTTCTGACTCCAAGTCTGGCAACACAGCCACCCTGACCATCTTTGGGCTCAAGCCTGAGGATGAGGCTGATTATTACTGTATCTCATTTACAAGTACTAACACTTTCCACAGTAACTGCTTTATGCAGGGAAGTGAGACAAAAACCTGTTCTCAACCTCCTCTGACTGCCACACTTCTGAATCCAAGTTTTGTCGCTTCTATTTTACTTTTAAAAATTTAGTTAATGCAAAGTTTAAATAACAAATATTAAACAATTTTATTTTATACATTTTATACATTTTTCCATATTTACCATTTACTATAGCACTGTCTTCTGTTGTTCATTGATTTGCTCGAGCAGGCACCAATAACGTCTCCATGGTGAGAATTGTTACTGTTTTTGCCATGTTGAATATGTCCCCGGGGAGCTTGTCAGACTCTACTGGCCAGGCAGGATATTCTAGGTAGCTTGCCAGGCTTTCTGAGGTGGACAGAGGAATTCATCCTGCATTGGCTGTGTGCAAGGCAAGTGCCCTACCAGCTGTGCTATTGCTCCTGATTGGCATCTTGACAGGGTTCACAGTCACTGTCACTGTCACTGTCCTCCCACTGATCATTGATTTTCTCTAGTGCACCCAGTAACGTCTCCATTGTGAGACTTCTTGTTACTGTGTTTGGAATATCGAATACATCAGAGGTTGCTTGTCAGGCTTTGCTGTGCAGGTGAGATACTCTCGGTAGCTTGCCATGGTCTCCGCGATGGGCAGAGGAATGGAACTCGGGTTGGCCATGTTGGAGGTGTGCAAGGAAAATGGCCTTACCTGCCATGCTATCGCTCCAGCCCTTAATTAAAAAAAAAGGACTAGGGAGCGGGAGGGGGGCACTGGAATGATAGCACAGAGTTAGGGCGTTTGCCTTGCATGCAGTGAACCCAATGTGCTGGGTTGATTCTTCCGCCCCTCTTGGAGAGCCCGGCAAACTCTGGCAAGTTATCCATGTATTCGATATGTCAAACACAGTAACAAGAAGTCTCACTATGGAGATGAAAATCGATGAACAATGGGAGGACAGTGACAGTGACAGGGAGGGGGAGACAGCATGGGGGCCAGGGCACAGAGGACTCCACACTCCCACGCTCCTGCACCTGGTGAAACCTCCGGGTCGGGGCTAGACTCTCAGGTGCAGGAGAACTAAGAGAGTTTGGATAGAGATGCTGGCAAAGCTCTGTGTGGCAATCAGAGAACCATGCCCCAGAAAAAATGTTTTTTGTTTTGTTTTAAGCAGGGCTTATTCCTAGTAGTGCTTGGGCGGGGGGCCACATGGGGTGCTATGATGGATCAAACCCGACTTGGTCGTGTGCAAGGCAAGCGCCCGGCCTGCTCTATTATTGCTCTGGTCCCAAATCTTAAGCCCTAAAAATATTTGTGCAGCTGGGGAGAGAGTCCACAGGTCTGCAGTGCTTTGGACAGGGAACCTGGGCTTGCTCCCCGGCGCTGAGCCTGGAGGGGAGCACAAATGAACAATAACATCAAATAAAAATAGCAGTATTGGTTACTAAAAGCCAGAAACTTTATTTGGCCCATTAGGGTTCATTAGCTTCTGCTGGGAAATTTTTGATAACCTTATTTGTTGTTGCCGGTTTTGGGGGTCACAACCCAAGGTGCTCAGGGCTTACTCCTGGCTATGCGCTCACAAATCACTCCTGGTGGGCCAGGCAATCATAGAGTACTAGGGCTTGAATCAAGTCAGCATGTGCGAGGCAGGTGCAGTATTCACTGTAGTATTGCTCGGACCCCTTGGAGAACCTGTTTCCTACTCTCAGATAATAGAAAGTTTCCTCATGTTCCAGAACAAAACTCCAGGTATTTACATTCTGGACAAATGGTCCTTCAGACTAATGTCTATATTCATTTGTAATTCTCTCACCATATATGTATTAAACAATCGATTGTATAAGTTATTTTAGTCACTTATTAAAAACTTAGCACTGTAGCACTGTCCTCCCATTGTTCATAGATTTCCTCAAGCAGGCACCAGTAAAATCTCACAACAAATTGTGAGACTCTTATTACTGTTTGTGGCATATTAAATACGTCACAGATAGCGTGCCAGGCTCTGCCATGCGGGCAAGATACTCTCGGTAGTTTGCCTGGCTCTCCAAGAGGGGTGGAGGAATCGAACCCAGGTCGGTCATGTTGGCCTTGTGCAAGTCAGTGCCTTACATGGTGTACTATCACTCCAGCCCATAAAATACTTATTTAGAATATTTTTATTTCTTGTTTTATATCTTTCAACATTTATTTTATATTTAATGTTTTATATTTTGTATTTAAGATATTTTATATTCCTTCTATAGTTTTACTATATTCACATTTGTGCATCTATTATTAGCACTATTACTCATTAACTCTTTCATGTCCCTAAAAGAAATTCCTATTTAATTACCAGTACCTCTCAAATCCTTCCTAGCTTAAACTCGCATAAACAAAAATACACATTATTGGTGATAATATGTGCTTATTTCAGTCATTTCACATTAATGAAATCACTAACACATAGACCATTGTGTTTGGTTTCTCCTGATTCTTTATGAAGTTTTTTCTCTACTTCTTATTTTAGCTCCTGAGATGATTCAATATTTCCATGAAAAATTCTAATCTCTGTATATGTGTATAATATTATATCCAATATTGGAGTATTCCTATTTAATTGTGTTTCTATTAAAACTGTATTTTTCTGATTGTTCAGAAACTGAGCAGTCTTGAAATCTAACCTAGATATACCCAAGTTCTGTAATGAAAAAACTGCCATTTTTTAATTGTTTTCTGTTTGTTTTTGTTTTAGGGCCACAGCCAGTGATGCCACGAATTATTCTTGACTCTGCACTCAGGAATTTTCCCTAACAGTCCTTGGGGGACCATATGGGATGGTAAGGAACCAACACAGGTTGGCCATGTACAAGGCAAATACTCTACCCACTATTTTATCTCTTCGACCCCAAAACAGTTATTTTGTAAAACATAACAGGGATCTTGTCGCAGACTATCAGGTAATCTGTGTCCAGTCGGCTGCACACATTATCATCTGTAATTTCTTCTCTATGCCTGAAAAATTACAAAACCTTTTCTCTAATCTTGAGATATATTCTAAGTGTGAGCTTCAAGAAAGCCAACTGAAATGGTTTCTATTATTTAAACATTTTCTGACTAATAACCCTACCTTATTTAATGTTAGAATCCATAAAAGTGAAGCAAAAAAGTCACTCAAGAAAGTATAAATTTGGGGGGGTCTTTTAGGATTCATAAACAAAGCCTATTCCTCTTCAAAAACTTCTTATTTTTTTTGCTTCGGTCTATTTATTTATTTACTTGTTTATTTGCTTACTTAAATTGAATCACCATGAGACACAAATTTACAAAGCTGTTCATGCTCAGCTTTGAGTCCTACAATGTTCAAACACACACCCCTCCACTAGAGTACATTTCCCAGTGCAGATGTTGCCAGTTTCCCTTCCCCAGCCTGTTACTAAGCAGACAGGTTACTTCTGTCTCTCTTTCTCTCTCTCTCACTCTATGTCTCTCTCTCTCCCTCTCTCTATTTCCTTTACCTATTTTAAGCACATAGCTCTTATCCAGTGTGATCATTTCCAACCATCTTTGTCATAGTGGTTTCTTCTCTATCCCAACTGCCTTCTTCCCCAGCACTTTTCACTTTCTAGATAAGAAAATTATCACTTAAATAAACCTTGGAAGAGAATGAATGCGTTGCAGAGATGCCTCCAGACCCCATGCCAGACTGAGTTTCATCTGTGGCAATGCAGGGGGGGGGGTGGATGAGTTCCACCACCAGTCTGAACAGCCCCAACAGCTGAAAACGTCCAGAACTCAGTTGCCACTATGCTCATGACTGATTGCCACAGGTTCAGAGAAGCCTCATCCTTGAGTGAACCTGCTAAAAAAACCAGAAATGAAGATTTTGTGGCCAAAGTCTCCAGGCTCATGTGGAGCAGGGAATGAGCAACCTCCCTCATCTCCCTGTGCTTCTTGTCGCCTGGCAGTCACACACAGGAACTGCCTCAGGGGCCATATAAGCTCATTAACAGCCATGATCCAGAGACTCAAATATAAACCCTGGAAGATAAAGAGAGCAGCAAGTCACAGAGTTGTCTTCAGACCCCAAAGTCACCATCCACTTAAAAATTCAATTCTAGCAGCATCACCCTATTGAAATATTAGAATGACTGGAGTTCATGTCTGCAAATACTGTAACACGACTTCTAATAGTCTATAAAGAGCTTAATAACTCCAGGGTTGTATAACAATTTTTACACACTTTCCTGTAAGGAAAGATTTGGGGATAGTTTTTGGCAAATTCTTCATAACAAACAAAGCACTGGTGCGGAGACAGACTGCTCAGAAGAAATTTAACTGGAGCATCCTCTTTTTTGTAATTTGTTGGTTTGGGTTTTTTATTCTTATTCAGGGTGGGGTTGACAGCTGGGACTCAGGGGTTGCTCTTGGCAAGGTTCAGGGAATCAGGTAGAACATGGTGACTGAAGCCGAGTCTCTGGCATTGGAAAAATGAACTCAGTTCTTTGAGCTCTCTCTCTAGCAGGTTCTGTTATTTATTTATTTATATATATATGTAAAAAAAAAGCCCTTCGACTAAAACCTCATGGGAAGGGGGGCGTTCCCGGCTTGTCCTTCACGCCCTACCGAGGTCACCAGTTGCCCCCCATGAGCGGCTCTCCGGCATGGCCATGGCTCCAGAAGCACAAGGACTTAATGCAGAGGCCAGCAGCTTGGAGCAGAAAAGTGAACGGACTATGCGTTAATCTACGCCACCATGTCTGCCCAGAGGGGAAAGGGTGTTGCTCCCTTCCGCCTTCTCCCCTCTGGAAAGAAAGATGGTAGCCTCTTGGGAGCCTTATGGAAAGCCAGGTATGAGCCAGTGGTGACGGGGCAACTAAAACCTAATGGGAAGGGGGGCATTCCCGGCTTGTCCTTCACGCCCTACCAAGGTCACCAGTTGCCCCCCATGAGTGGCTCTCCGGCAAGGCCATGGCTCCAGAGCACAGAAATCAATCTCTTAATTATCTGACTCTCAGTAGAAATACTTCCAGGGTTAATAAGTAAAATAGCAGAAATCCAAAACCGACATCATTTAATTCTTGAACCCAGCTGTAGAAAGCAAATCATTTCACAATGCTTTTTCAGCATGTCTGATTGGGGGGGGGGGTAA